AAATTTATTCATACAACTAAACCAACGTCTCAATAATTGGAACCTTGCTTCAAAGTCGAAAGGTATCGTACAATGAAACTTTACAATGCGAGTATATTTGTAAAATTATGTGCAAGAATTTCTGTTCAGAATTTCCCGTGCAGGATTGTCTGATCCTGCACGGCTGTTGACCAATCAAATTGCGTGTTTCACTGTAGTTATTATATAATTCACCATATCTCTTACTATGCATGGCCCTATATTTTTGTAGAGTTAAATTTTGAAAAGCAATAAATTGACATCATTGGCTGCTGTATATCCTTATTATTAAAATAAATCATTTGTTAAAGTGTGACTCAATAATATTGTTGGCTGCACCATTGCTATCAATTATCAACCATGGCTTTTAAATCGAGTGATTGTTATATCCATTTGTTGGCACGGCAAGAAAGAAAATGCTGATCTGTTTTGTTTTGACCATTATTTGCATTATATTCTATTGTAATTATTAATTTTGAATCACAACGAATCTTTGTGATGAATGTGAACTCCAGCTGTATTATAGAGGCTGAATAGACTAGCCAATGCACGCAGTGCGTACCTATTTTTTATATTATTTATCCCTTCATAAATAATAAACAATCCTTACCGCTCCACCGATCAATTCACTACATTGATAATCTTTATCTGTCTTATCGAAATGATCACAGTAGGATTGCTTGTTTCCCAATCCTTGATCTCGTTCTTTTTCGTATGTGGCCAAGATTTTAGCGAGTAGAGCTGTCGAAACCAGTAACTGCAGGGTCCAAAGTGCATGTACTATGACCATCTGAAAGGAATAAATTGTGAAATCAAAGTATCGTGTAAATTCTATTGAATATTTATCATAGTTTGCAGGCATTACTTTGTCTTGGAAGGCATTATTAGTTTTATTAACATACTTCGTTAACATTACTTCGTTATCTTCGCTAACTGTTTTAGCAAGTAATAGCTGCAAATCGGGGTCACAATATCTGCAGAGCAAGCGCCTCTCACGCATTGAAGATTCTTGCAGCTTCGTTTGCAATTCAGTTTAGCAGTCAGAGTGACTTTAACTGAGACATGTTTTGTGCATTAGGACAACTGAATACACCTATCAACATTTTCATGAGCGTTATACCACTGTGGGGAACGAACCATTGGAGGGATGTGCACCAAGCGAACCGCTAAAAGACATAGTACTACACACAGTGTGGTGGCGTGGAGCATGCGAAGAAAAAGTGCAACACAAGCGCGAAGGCAAATACAATAGAAAAGGGACTGGAACACTTAAGATTTAATTTCTTACTCCAGTTATTCGTGGAGCTCACTGTGCTTAACTTTGTTTGGGAACCGAAATCCATGCATAGTAGGAACTTTTCCTTCCGCTCCCTTCACTTTTCTTATGGTCAGTTGCTGATTAAAATAAAATTTGCTAAATGTCTCTGAAGCATTTAACAGAACTTACAGCCAATGTTCCACCCTTTTTCTCCAGTAACCCAGTGATTAATGCCACAAGCGAAAATATTGCCATAATCACTCCAAGAGATGTAGTGTATAGGAAAAATTCATATCTGCCAAAAGCACCCAGGTCATAGGTATTAATCTCATTATCATTTTTCGGCTTTCTATCGTCATATAGCTCTTTCATAAAGTAACCAGCAACACCGGTTCCTGCCACAAGTACAACCCATAGATATCTTATATACACTAGATAGCGCATCTCTTTTAGTAAAATTGAAGCCAACAATATTCCAGCGGTTACCCCCATTTGTATAGATGGCGGCCATGTTGGTCGTTCCCACTTGCTAGTAAA